AAAACTCTTTCCTGTAGCACCCTACATAAGGGGTCACTGCCAACCTCCCTGACCTCCAATGCTGCACCCTCTCCCTGCTTACTAAACTTTGGCCCCACTGCCCTGCTTTCTAGTCATCAGAAATGCCAAGCTGTTCCCACCTTTGGGCATTTGCACTCACTGTGCCCTCTACCTGGAATACCAGTCTTCCCACAGCTGAGAAGGGCTCTATTCCAAAGTCATCTCTTCAGAGAGGCTTCATTGATCTTTCAGTTCAACTAGCACCCTCTTCTCCAGGCGTTGGTGCTCATTACCCTGCTTTATCTTCCTTATAGCTTTTATTACTACCTGGAATTCTTATTTACATATGTGTTTACTGATCTACTATCTGTCCCACACCAATAGAATATAAATTGGGTGATTACAAGTAGAGACCTTGTCTCTCTTATTTCCTGTAGCACTCGCTGATGGGAGAAGCAGGTAAGAAACCAGTAAACACACACATCTATAATTACGAATTGTGGTAAGTGCTGCATAAAGCAAACAGCAGCAATTGCTTGTATTTGAGGTATTTTTAAAATTTTAAGCTTATAAGGTAACTACTATATTGACAAAACAAGCTCCCTGAGCGATTTTTGGAGTAAAGAAAAGCCTGGTAACTTGCTCCAGGACACACAGTAAGTTTAGAGCAGTGGAAGTGGTCTCCTACCGTAAGAACATGTGCATAGCAAGCTTTAATGATGGACCTGCAGTTATGTTTTGCGAAGAACCTGATCCTGGAGCCTGAAGACCTCAGTTCTTTGCTCTTCCACTATCTAGAAAGTCCTCTAGATTCTTGGCACCTCGTTTTCTTAATCTCTAAAGTAGGAGGATCTAATTACTGTCATCTTGGGCCTCTTTTTGTCTCCAATATGCCCAAAAGAAGTAACACTTCTGGGTGGAGCTCTTGCTATCAGCCTGAGGGCCTTGGTGCTGGAAGGGGAGCCAATACACTCACAGGCAGAGTGCTAGGGCGTCGTGCAGATGTAGACCTGGGGATGATGAGGGCAGCCAGACCCCTCTTCAACACTGACCAACCAGCAAGGCAGAAATGGGCCCTACAGCTTCTGGATCTGATTCTTTTTGGTCATTGTTATGGATTGAATTGTGTCCCCCCAAAATGTATATCAACTTGGCTGGGGCATGATTCCCAGTATTGTGTGGTTGTCCTCCATTTTGTGATCTGATGTAGTCTCCTAGACTGAGAGAATAACTTTCTGTTTGTGAAAGCCATATACTTGTGGTATTTCTGTTATAGCAGTACTAAATAACTAAGACAGAATTTGGTACTGGGAGTGGGGTGCTGCTCTAACAGAGATCTACAGTATGGAAGCAGTTTTGGAATTGAGTAACGGGTAGGGGCTGGAAGAGTTTTAAAGTGCCTAATAGTGAAAGCCTAGATTGCCTTGAAGAGACTGTTGGTGGAATTATGGACATCAAAGACAATTCTGGTGAGAGTTCAGATGGAAGTGGGGAAAGCTATAACACCAGAGATGGTGCAGATGGCAAGAAGCGGTGGGAGAGAAATGGTGGCCGGAGACTGGTGCGAGATGGCGCAGGAGCTGGCCCACAGAGCAAGGGAGCTGAGTGCCTTTGGGCAGGAGGCTTCCTGGTGGAATGGGGTGCCTCCAGGCACTTGTTAGTGGAGCTAGGCTTGTCAACTCACAGAGCAAGAGAGCTGAGTACCTTTGGGCGGAGGCTTACTGGTGGAGTGGGATTACTCTGGGCATTTATTAGTAGAGCTAAAGAGCTTTGTAACACTTGCCGGAGCAGGCAGAGGCTGGGCCTGCCGAAGAGGCCAAGGAACCAGGAAATAGAAGTTGAATAAACAAGAAGCACAGGAAGCAGAGCTGCCTTAGTCTCAAAGGGTAAGGCCACGACCTCTGGAGTCTCAAAGGGTAGAACCACGGCCTACTGGGTATCAGAGGGTGGAGCCACAGCCTCCTAGGTTTCAAAGTCAGAGCTTCATCAGCTCAGTTTCAGAGTGTGGGGCTGCTGTTCACAAGTGCCAGGAGGACGGGGCTGGATCTGCCGCCCAAAGCTGAGGGGGCAAAGCTGCCATGCCCAAGGGACAGAAGAATGGGCTTGTCGAAGGCTAAGGGGGTGGGATTGTCACTCAGTTGGACTCGAAGAATAGGGTCACCCAAATTCGAGGGAGCAGAGTTGCTGTCCCAGTGGGCCTGGAAGGCAGAGCTGAAGCCCAGGGCTGAGGGGCCTCCACCCAGAATCCAGAGAGCCTGGCCAACACCAAGGGTCTGAAGGGCAGGGCCATTGCCTAGATTATCTCAGAGAATAGAGGATTATTTTCAAGCCTTGAGAGCTAACATAAATTGTTCTGCCGGGCTTTGGACTTGCTTAATGTCCGTTACCTCTTTTTTCCCTCCAATTTATCCCATTTGTAATGGAAATGTCTACCTTGTGCCTGTTCCATCATTATACTTTGGAAGCAGATAACTTTATTCTAGAGGTAATCAGGTGCTTAGGCATCAACAAAACAGGGGCACCAGTTGTCCAAAGCAAAGACCCATAGATGCCAAGCAGACAGGACACAAGGAAAAGTGAGTGCTGCAGTGAAAGGGAGCTGACAGGGCACTAAATGAAGTTTGTACCAGCTCAGAGCGTGAGAATGTGGCGGCCAGAAATTAAGTTCACAGAGTCGCAAGGGTTTCTGAACGCAAGGTTGTTTAAGCTATGAGGCCCCTACCACTTCAACACCTTCATTGACATCTGTCTCCTATGGTCCCCTCCCATGTAATTGAAACTCCTTATCTTGGTGGGTCTCTTGGGAGTACACTATTCCTCTCTAATAAACAAGAGGTGGGGGTGATCTGTTGAGTCTAACTCTTGCTGTATTCACCCAGTATGCAACTGGATCCAACATGAGCGCTTACTAGGCAAGGACGGATTATATTAATAGATAATAGATTTCTGATCTATTTTGAGAGAACAGTCATGTACATCCACGTCCACTGATCCAGCAACTGCAGCCAGGAGGGCCAGCAATGCTCTTTGTCTTGATACAAACACAAGGGTATGCACTTATGCACTTCCTGATAAACCAACCAATCAGAACTCCAGTCCCAGATAATGCGCAAAAGCGAGGGAACTCGAATAAGTCAACCATTGCAATGAATTCAATCAAGTTACTTTTTAACTATGTAACATTTACAGGGTTATATCCTAAGTTTTATAAACAATAATATTTCTAATTTTAACTTTAAAATGTTTGGTATACATGTGAATGCAACCTAGTATACATTTAATATAATAATTAACGTGGGTAATAATTTTATATAATACTAATGTTGCAAATGCTCAAAAAATACTGGAAATATTAATATTTATCTGACAAAGTTTTATTTATCAAGTGAGTTTCATTTTTTGTTGTCAGTTGCATGGGACACAGTGCTTGATATTACTATCTCTTTGCTAATAAATGAGGTATTAGGCACATTAAAAGGATGCAAAATTCAGTATTTATTTATCATGCAAAATATTTTTATTTTAGACAACAGATAAGTGGTATCTTGGGTGAAGGGTGAGACAGTACACAATGCAGGAGAAACTAGCACAACCTGTACAAGGAAAGGTCATGGAAGCCCCATAGACACATCCAAACTCCCTGAGGGACTGAATTGCTGGGC